TCCCCTTTTCTTCCAACAATCCAAATCCTCTACCTGATTTTCTTTCTTTAAAGAGATCATATTTTGATGAAAAATTCAAACATGATCTCCAAACTCTAAAACAAGCAGATTGTCCTTTTCTTCTAGTAGTCTTGTCATTGTTGTCTGTTTACATAGTTTTTTACTATTACTGATGATTATTAGCAATCTTATGATTAATTGTAATTTTGAGGTAAACTCTACCTCTGAAAGAAAGGGATTTATAGAGATATTTTGAGCCCAGTTACCAGACCATTCCTATAATGATAACTATCCAGTTATAATTAAATGATTTGCTTCTAAATTTCATCCATATTCCATTATGAAAGGAAGCTGCAACTCCACATTTTGGCTGGTTTATTATTGTAGTCAGCTCAATAGTTGTTGCTAGCAGAATATGATTTTAAACCATAAATTGGAAATCTTTCAACTGAATTTGACCATCACCATTCCCTTAGCACATGATAGGCTTGTATCATTCCTATTGCATAGAATATTTTCTTTATATCTCATTTCTGCCCATTGAACAAGCATCTTATAAGATCCAGCACAAGTACCAACCCTCTGGGGAACTTCCCTATTTCACATTGCCTAAAACATTGCTGTTTCTGTTTGTCTTTTGTCACTGGACCTTTGTATTTTCTTTCCTGCTAGACTCTAAGTTCCATGATGAGAAAGGGGATAATTTCCCAATCATCCCTAGCCAAACTGTACCTAGCACAAACATGTGTGCACAGAATGTGATGAGGAAATCTTGTTGAATTGCTTAACATTACACGTTAAACACATATTTGGTGATTGACTTGCCTCAGTACATAGTTGTGTGATCAAGGGAGAGAAAAATTACATACAAGAGGAAATATTTAAAAGCTGTTTCCTGAATCTGCAGAGCAAACTGCTTGAGGCATTGACTAGAGAACTGGGCCACGATCCTTCTACACTTAGGAAAGCATATGATTATTTATAGATACAAAGGGAAGAAGCATATATTATGTGTAGCATAATTTAAAAACACTATGTAGAATCCTGCTACAGTACCTACATACAAGAAATCATCATAATAATGACTTTATCCCCTGAAGTACATTTTCTTCAAAATCTTACATAAGAAAATAGACCCAACATTAAAAAGAATTTTCCCCATCCTCCAAAACGTACCAAAAGCAAAAAATAAGAAATTCTATGCCAAAATGTTTTTCTTAGGCTTTGAAGTAAATCAAGAAAACATTTTGTTTGTGATTATCATAAAGTATGAAATTCATACATTCAGTGTTTTGACACAATATACCATAATTTATTCAAATAGCAAGTCTGTGTTGGTATCAAACTATAAAGATGAAAAACAAAATTGTATGTTGTGAAAATAATTAATTTAGATGAAATATTTTTGGCAGTTCTCCTGCTTTTGGAATTTGTTCTGTAAGCTCTTCATAATCATCACTTATTTACATTTCAAAGAAAGCTGAACACTGGTGTTTTGTTCTTTATTTTATTAGTATGAGAAGTAGAATCCAAAAGCCATAGGAAAATTTTTTCAAAAAACAGCAATATCTGAGCAAAATGTGAAAATTTTAAAAACTTCACTACTAGGAAAGGTAGATTTTTTATGTCTGTGTCTGACTTGTATTTATTAAAAGAATTCACCTCTTTAATAAGTTCCCTTTAAATATTACATTTCTAATACCTGATGTATTCTGATAATGAATACTCCTAATTATAGTATAGCAGTAAATGTTTTTGTTTTGCTGTTTTTGCCTTAATAAAACTCATTTACTGGGGTTTCCCTTGTGGCGCAGTGGTTAAGAATCTGCCTGCCAATGTAGGGGACACAGGTTCGAGCCCTGGTCCAGGAAGATCCCACATGCCGCGGTGCAACTAAGCCCATGCACCACAAGTACTGAGCCTGTGTGCCACAACTACTGAAGCCCACGCGCCTAGAGCCCGAGCTCTGCAACAAGAGAAGCCACCGCAATGAGAAGCTTGCATACTACAATGAAGGGTAGCCCCTGCTCGCCTCAACTAGAGAAAGCCCACGCGCAGCAACGAAGACCCAATGCAGCCAAAAATAAATTAATTAATTAATTAAAAAAAATAAAGTGGTACTGACTTGTAGAATCTCTGTGGGGAGAGAAGCTTCCTAATTAAAAAAAAAAAAAACTCATTTACTAAAATGTAGAAATTATGCCAAGATAGAAACTAAAATATTATCTGTGGACTTGCAATAATAGTCTACGAAAGCACTATAAATTTTTATAGTAATGTTGCACTGATCAAATTTTGTACTAGTAATAGCAACAGGAACTCTCATATATTACTGATAGGAGTTTAACTAGGTAAAACTACCTTAGAAAACTTGCAGTATCTACTAAAGCTAACCATACTCATATCCACCCTATATTCTAGCAATTCCTCTGCCTAGTGAAACTCTTGGACCCAACTCATATAGTCCCCAAAATGCACGTATTCACATGTATTCACCAAAAAAAGGCATGATCAAGGAGGTTCATAGCAGCACTAGCCAAAACCTAAAAAAATACCCAAATTTTCCTCAGTAGGACAATGGGTAGATTGTGATGTCTTCATATAATGGAATACCATACAGAAATGAGAATAAACAAGTTACTGCTACATGCTATAACACAGATAAATCACATATGTTTCATAAAAATAAAGCAGACTCAAATAAGTATATAAAGTTCAAAAGCAGGAAAAAGTTTTATTGTCCCATAAGTCAGGATAGAGATGATTTTGCAGCAAAGTAGTGCTTGGGAAAAGATATGGTGGTAAGAGGGGGCATGGTGAATGCTCGTGTGATGCTGACAATTCTACTTCTTGATCCGTGGTCTCTTGACATGGTGTTACCTTTGTGCCACTTTATTTGGAACTCTGTTGTTTGCACATTTTTCTTTGTGCATTTATATCTCAATAAAAAATTTTAAAACCTTAAACCTATGGGAAAAAAACGCTTCTACTAGTATGTTATTTAATTAAAACTTCATATATGGTTTCTGGTTGTTGTTCTTAACTTCCAAATTTCCCTGGAAATAATATTTTTCAATTAAAAAGATATATTTATGAATTTAAACAAAATACTTTTTTGACTTTAGTTTTTCCTTTACATGTTTCCTTTTTTGCTCAATACCTCACGAATAGGCTTAGCGAACAAAAAATGGTCTCCATAAAGAAACTGTATTTTGCAAGATATTTCCAGTAGAGGGAGCTTCACTTTCTAAAGGAAATTTCTATAGAAAATTTTCCTTCAAGGACCATCACTAAAAAATAAAAACACTTAATTTTTTTATGTATGATTAAAGTTCTTCATAGAGTGATGGCTACTAAGACCAGTCTAAGATAGAGAAAACTTTTTTTCGATTTGTGAACGAAAAAAGAAAAACCTGATGAAGAATATATGTATCACCAAAACTTCTATATTGGGTATGTCTTTTTCAAGTGATTACATTTTTAGACTATTCATAAAAAGCATTTTAAACTAAATTATTTAATATTAATGAAGATAAATTCTAAGAATATATCATAACAAATATTATGGTGATTTGCCATTATACAAATTTGACCTCATCGATCAAAATATTTTAGTTATTAACATTAAACTTCCTAAACCTAAGTATCTATCAACTAAGCTCTTCTGATTTCTTTGGAAAAAATAAATATGTGTATTATCTAAGATTTTAAGAAATAATTATGGTAAAATAATTTATCTTATGACATGAATTTTGTACTCCTTTCCATACAATTTACATAAATGTAAAAGCTCTACATTCTTTGCTTTGGTCACTACGTATGAAACTTGTAACAATTGTAAAGTTACAAAAATTTACTGTCATTAAAATATTTTTCACTGAAAATATTCTGATTTACAATGGTTTCAACACCTCACTTCAGAAAAAATGGATAATTTCAGAAATATAATAACCTTCACAACTAGGTCCTGTTACTAAAGGTAGTTATTATGGGATATGCTATGTTTTTCTAATGTGCCTAACGATAAAAACTTGACATAGCAACCCAGAAAAGAATATTTACATACTTCAAATGGAAACCATTATACAAATAACTTAGTTACTCTCATTATTTGATTTCAATCTTCTTGAAAGTCTTGTGAGCCAAAAAATGGAAATTTTAAGGTAATTATAATAGTAAAGTAAAATTTATATTGTTGGTTCAAAAATCCATGAGCAGTATCTTGCTTATACATTGTTTGATGAAGAATGGGGGTTAAATTACTTGATCTGTGTTTAGTCTCTCTTCTCTTTTAATTAAAAAGAAAAAAAAGAAAGCCTACCAAATATGACTGGATATGATAAGAAAATGACACATCATAGAACAATTTTACCATTCAATAGGTTTCTTATTACTTTCTCCAAAATAATTATTCTTGGCATAGAACATATCTGGTGATTTATTTATTATTTTGCCTCCATGAACCAGGCTCTTTAGAAAATAGTACTTGCAAGGCCTTTATTATTCTATTCATTTGAACTTAACCTCTAGATATATCAACAATGTTCAGAATATCTCTGATCACTAAATGTTTATGCTCTAGATTTTTTTTTGTCTTTTAAAAAGTAAGTAATGTTCCATTTCTAATTACTAAATGGTTTGTAACTTTCACAAAAGAGAGTAACACCCAGAATTTATAATTCACTTAGAAAAAAGAAACACTTAAAGCAATTTGAGAAGGAAGACCTAGGCTTTGGAAATATTTTTTTGCTAGGGTAACCTCAGCTGCAAATAATATAAGATGCCAGTTACTAAAATACATTAATTAGTGAAAACAGAGCAAAGTTATATGTTGTAGAGGTCTCAAGAGATAGACTGCTAGATACCTTTAGATAGAAAACAATACGATTTAAGGGACACTTTCAACAAGTCAACTTCGAGTTGCATTCTTGGTTTCATCCATGACAAGTAGTTGCAAGGCTTGAATGAGTTCTCCAACTGTTAAATACAAGTGGACTCACCTGAGTAGCAGTGCTGCTTCCCAGAAGTAAAATCCCGAAACTAATGTCCGAAAGTGTCTCACGTAGGCCATGATACGGAGGGAAAGATTCACGACTCTGAAATGAGTCTTAGCCAAGGCATGGGGAAGGAGAAAGCCGGGAATGAGAGTGTGCAGTCTAACTGCGTGTGGTGTTGGTGGAGAGCAACGCCTGGAAAGCTTCAGCACCTGAGACAGCTCCCCGCGATCCGCGGAGACCCTCTCTTTCAAACACTTGAAATTCCCTTTCGACCCCTTCTCTGAGCAGGAGCTGAAGGGAGATTCACAGGATTACACATGTGCAGGTGATTTATACAGTGACAGCGGAATAACGGATGAGATGAGAAGTCTGAGGTGCCTAGGTTCTGGGCAGCAGTTCACGGGAGCTCTAGCGGCAAAAGAAGAATGCTAGTCCTTTCCTGACTCAGACCCACGACTGGAGAAAGAGCAACAGCGGGAGCAAGGATGCGTCTGCACCTGCTCCAAGCGCCGCCCGCCCGAATCCCACTGTCCACCTTTGGGTAAACCCCGGGCCACTAGCGTGGCAGAGGGAAGCGGGGGCGGGGCCAGACGACACGGTCTTGCCAGCCAATCACAACCGCACAGCGGGGCAGAGTGACAGGCCACTCACGACGGTAGGCGGTGCTTAGCTAGCCAGGCTTTTAAAAAAAAAAAGAAAAAGAAAGAAAAAAAAGGCGTTGAGTAACTGGTGCAGAGCCTAAACCGCAACTGGAAGGAACTGGGGGAGGGGAAGCCTCTGCGCTAAGAACTGGGGGAGTCAGCAGCATTTATGGATTAGGTAGCAGAATCGCGCTAGAGGGACCCTCCATTGTTCCCTTCCGGGAGAAGGCGCAATTTAGTAATAAAAGGTCTTTTCGGATGTGACCCTGTCTCTTTGACCTTACATCAAAATGCAAGAGTCAACAGTAAACCCAGACCCTTGGAGAGGTCTAGGGAAGAGCAGAGAATGTGGTGCTGAAAACCAGCGGAAGAGGAGAATCAGCTGCTTCTAGAATCGTCTCACAACCCTGGCCGGCTTCTGGCCGGGAAACGTTGTTGACTAGAGTCAATTGAGTTTCCTTCAGTGACAATACGGGTTCTAAAAAGATAAAGGTGGGAAATCTAAAGAGATGGCTTCTGAGGGGACAACGCTACACACACACCCATTTTTTCTTAGGCGTTTTCCATATCTTAACATTAAGCTCCAGGGAGAACGACAACTAGGTCATATGGTTCATCTTTTCTTCTGCCATCCAACTCTCTCCCTCGCCCACCCCTCCCTAACCATTTATATGGGGACTTGGATTGGAAGACTGGAAAGGGAAAGTGAGTGCGTGTGTGTGTGTGCGTGTGTGTGTGTGAGAGAGAGAGAGAGAGATCATGCACACGTTTCTATGCTTCTTCATGCACCTCAAAATAATGGAATTTTTAATCATTAAAACTTAGGCTATTAGATCTTTAAGTGGCTTTTATTTACTATCAACTAGGATCAAAATATTCACTCCTTGAATCTTAGCTTTTTCCCAGAACTCCCTCAGGTATTTATTCTGAAAGCCCTACTTTAATCTCTTACTTTTCTCAATGACCAAACTACATGCCAAGAATGTCTTTCCTTTCTCACAAACGTTTTCTTCTTAATTAAATCCAAGAGCAATTGACATATCAATTATCCCATAATTCTCTGTTTAACTGGAAAAGTATGTCACTAATTTTTACCCTCCAAATGAGGGCACGGTGGAAAAAAAAAAATCTTTCTCTTTACTCTTTAGTAGACAAGCTTATTTATATTCCGTGTAAATAAAGAAATTTTGGATTTATTTCCAGACATTATTATTAAACCTGCCTCTTTTCACATTTGGTTTTCCGACTTAAATCACAAACTTCCAGAAGCCTCTTAAGGAATATAGTTGATTCTGCCCATGAATGTTTCTATCTTGAGAAGTGTCATATAATTTTAATTAACGCTGTTTTTCAGTGAATCTTTGGAAAGCTTTCTAAGTGCAAATGCTTTTTAGTTGGTCATTCTTTGAATAGCAGTAATTGTTTTAAAAACCACACACAATCAAAAAACAAAACTTACTATATTTCAAGAAGACCTGGGTTCCTTGCCTTGCTTCATCACTAACTATCTTTGGAAAAGTAATACATTTTTTAAAATACTTTTACTTAATATATCTTTAAAAATATATATTTATTGAGGGAACTGAATGAAATGACTTCTGAGATTTATACTCTGGCCCAAAGGAGAGAGCCAATGAATGTTTAAGTGAGCAAATCAGTGGATAATATTTAAAGCTCTGTGTTTACATTAATCTGGATAATTATGTTACATGATAGCTTAAAAGGCAGGATAATTTTAGCTGTTTCATCTCATCATTAACATGAAAACATAGGAACGTTAGACTTTATCAAATTTATATAGTCAATCAGTTTATTGAATATAATGTCATATAAGAGGATGGCTGGAATCCCCATATTACTTGTTTTTCTATTTCTTGCTTTTTTTTTTTTTTTTTTTGACTGCGCCCTGAGGCATGAGGAATTTTAGTGGTTCCCAAACCGCAGAATGAACCCGTGCCCCTGCAGTGGAAGCGTGGCATCCTAACCACTGGACCGCCAGAGAATTCTCCCCATATTACTTGTTTTTCATAGCATCATGATTATTTCCTTCAAATTACTTATGGCAAGCTACCATTCCCCTCATTTATTTGTTTGACTTTTCCACCAGAGTGAAATAATGGCTGTTATTTAGCACAGCACCTAGCATACAGTAGATAATCAATGTTTGTTGAATGTGTCAATGATCATACTAGAAATATGATTATTTTTAAATTAGTAAACGAATGAATTTGTTACAGTGTGTGGGGTACTAGATTAACTTTGATTAAATAATTAGAAATGAATCAAAGTGCGTCGTACTGTCTTGTTTCTTTTAACATTTGATGATTAATTTCCCAGTGCTGCTTGTCTATGTTGTTTATGTTGTTTGTTCTTAATTTCTATAAAGTCAAAATAAATTTTATGCAACTACATATTGTGGTAGCCATTCTTGTAAATTTTACTCTTTGGAGAATAATCGTCCTGATTGTATGGTAGGTGAATGAATGTGTTTTTGGGAAAAAAGACCATTTTATGGCTGATGAGCATCTGACTAGCATTCATGTAAAATTAAGCTGGATTCTGATATAGCCAAATCTCTGCTCTTCTTCTTCAGGCCTTTATTATTTCCTTCTTGTACTAATAGATTATTTTTCACATTGGACAAGACATGGCACTTCTGAGCTAAATGAGATATTAATCTTCCTCATATTTAATATTTTCCTTTTACAAGGAAGGAATTGTAGCCCAAAGTGGTTAAGTGATGGTTACTAACCTTCATATTCAGCAAGCTGAAGATATCAAAACTGAATTTGGTGCTTCAGGTGCATTGTCCAGTATTTTGTATACTACCACAGAGCTATCTTTAATGGTGTATTTTCACTATTGTTTCAAGATATATGCATATTACTTAAGCTACAGAAAAGTAGATCAATTTCAATGTAAAGATAAAGTTTTCATATGCTCAATTGTTACTACCAATGAGCTAAACATATATAATATTTTGTACATACTGCTAAAATGATTTGTTATTTAGTGAAAATTTTACTTACTTTTTTGAAGTTAATGTAGTATCGGGTTAATAACTATTTACTGAGAATCAATCAGATTCAGTAGCACTGGGTCATTCTAGTCATCTCATCAAAAGCTTGTGTATGAGTCAAAATGTCAGTTTTAAAACTTATAAAAGGCAATGTCACTTTTGGAATAATTAGAATAGTCACATCTTTGAATTAACACTCTAGGAAGATTGAAACAAAGCTTTAATTTAGGGCTTCCCTGGTGGCGCAGTGGTTGAGAGTCCGCCTGCCGACGCAGGGGACACAGGTTTGTGCCCCGGTCCGGGAAGATCCCACATGCCGCGGAGCGGCTGGGCCCGTGAGCCATGGCCGCTGAGCCTGCGCGTCCTGAGCCTGTGCTCCGCAACGGGAGAAGCCACAACAGTGAGAGGCCCGCGTACCGCAAAAAAAAAAAAAAAAAAAAAAAAAAGCTTTAATTAAAAAATCAATCAGGAAGTCACATGTTTAATACAAATTAGGTAGAGGAGAATTAATCCTATGGCAGTGATAGATATCATCACCAAGTATGTGTGCCTAGTGAATTTGTCTTTTGCATAGGGATCTACATACTGAACAGACTACAATAATAATGACATGTTAGCTGATCAGGTGACCCTCCTTTTTTGAAATAATAGCAGAAATATCCAATGATTTATCTCCTTTTTTTCTTTTTTTTCCAGGCTACAAAATTTTTCACATGGATCTCAGCAAAAGTCTCCTAATTTTTTCTCTTGCTTGCTCTCTTATTCCCCTTGATTAACCCTCCACTGTGAATATTAAGGGGTTTTTGTTTGTTCTTTGTTAGTTTTAGTATACCGAATGATGTCACTTCTATTCCTAAGACTGTTCAATGCCTTTCCATTGCAACAGATTGAAATCCACATTCCTCTTCACAGCTGGCTCTAAATGATTTTCCACTGACAATCTCCTCAGCCCTTTCTAGTGTGCTTTTCCCCCATAATGCACCAGTCACATGAGCTGTTTCTTATCTCATGATTTCTCTACTTCAAACTTTCTTCCTCTGTGCTTCTTATGTCTAGTCTCTTTCAGCCATTAACTCACAGTATAAATCTCTCTCTTCCTTTCTTTCAACAAGATTTCCCCTAAACCTTTATATTAGGATTTATTTCCTGCAGAAATCAAACTAGAATTTGTTTGTCTTTGTTTGAATACTCCTGGAAGGCAGGGGAAATGTGCATCCTTATGCCTGGCACATGTCTGGCAGGTGGTAAATGAGCAAGAAATATTTGTTGAATGAACAAATGCAGAAACTTTCTCTGCTCTTTAGTTCTTTCTTTTCAAGATTCCATTCTTACTAATCTCTTTTAACCTATTCTTTCTTCATAAAATTGTTTAGATTATAGTGTTCTCTCCAGGCCAGATATATTCCTTAGCCATCTAAAAGTAATCTTT